TCGTTAATTGTCGGCACGAGACGTTGGGAAACGGAAGCCATATTGTTTGTCCGAAAGGATGCGAAAATAAGAGGCGTAACTATTGATTAGGTCCTGGAAAAAAAAGGTAATAGACAAATATGGCAAAAATTTTAGGGGGCAGGGGGTTCCTCAAACTTCTAAAAGCAGGAAATACAGGAGACGACTTCCGGCAAGCTGAAAAGCAGGAAGCATCGGAGTATTTTATTGTAAAGTCTGGAGAGAACGGGCATCAGCTCAGGAGCACATTTCTTTATAGCAAGGGTAGCGATCCCCTCACATCCGCTTTTCCTTGTTGGGGTATTATTTTGAGATGATGCCAGAAACCAGTGATGGCGTTATGCATATATCACTTAGTTCTAGTGAGGAAATATGGCAGAGGTACTCCAGATGAGACGAAAGTGAAGATGGAAGAGAATTTCCGGGCAAAGCACTACCTTATCTGCAGCCGACTATAGTACTTCAAAGAAGAGGGACTGGGGAATTGCTGTCCAACAGTCTAGCAGAGTCACCAGTAATCACTAGAACCAAACTTGTGAAAATATATACAGTGTCTAATTCTACCAGCAAATACTATCGTTGCTTCTTTGAGGACACGATTTTGCACATTACAGGCGGTGACAAAGAGACATTTGTCGGAATCAGACCTATCGCTCTGGTATAGCCGGAAGTAGTAATAATGTTTTGCATACATTCGCTGCAGAATAGATATCAATGTAATTATCATTGCGCAAACTGAGCGTGTCTACGTAAATAGTTCTTGTGCGCAGTAAGTGAGACAAATTTAGACAAGATTCCTCAAAGGTCAGATTCTCACTTAGCTCTCCATAGTCTTCCGCGTTTAGCTTTCCGCAGCGAATGTATGCAAATAACGACAGTAATGACTGCCACCAGCGACGCGAATGAATCCGAACTTTTTGTCGATAACTCCAAAACGGTACAAATTTATCAAGCCAGACGAATAGATTACAATTACAAATAAATGTAAGTATTCTGAAATTTTAATGCGATCTGAGCGCGGGTGTTAATTGCAAATTAACCGTAATATTTTTTTCAACATCCACTCGAGTGGCAGAAAAACGTTAAGTCCCATTTATACTTTTTTTTTGTTACACAAGGTCTTTGGTAATCCGAATGAAGAAGGTAAAAAATAGACCCATCATCCTCCTCTGTCGAAAGGGAAAAAAATATAAAAACCATGCCAGCATTCAAGTTGGCAAGAAATTCCTGCTATTTACAAGCCTCCCCTCAAAGAAAGGCACGTTTCAAAGAAAAACAATCAAAAAATAGGAAAGAAAATGTAGAAAGGCTAAGGGTAATAGTAAGTAATCTGACGTAATATGTGCCGGATGCTAATTGGCTCAACCCGCAGCATAATGTGGCCTCAGATTTGCCAACTGAAAGTGTTTGCAGGGGCACTTTTCCATGCACGGGCCCCTATATTATGCAACTGTTGATAAGAGCAGCTCTCTAGACGCTCTCAGTCGGAATGGAGGAACCAGAAAAGTGCCGAACTTCAGTATGAAGAGTCGTAGCCACCATCTAGTCATATCACCAAAAGCTAATGACAGCCATCCTTGTTATGACCTCAGAAGAAGAAAAACGTTAACCCCATCCTAAACTGAGAACAAGGGATAGACCTCTACTCTTGTTCGGTAGAACAGGGAGGAATAGGTAAACCTCTCGAATCCTATAAAAAAAAAAAAAGAAAGCAATAAAAAAATAAAAAAATGTAAAAATGGTAGGATAAGTTTTAGCCGAGTAAGACTGAATAAAGTCAGATGGAGAATTTAAAGCCCACTTGTTATATGAGCGTAAGATGTCTGAACAATTCCTGGAATTCACACGGCAAGTATTTTCCTACATAACTTATTCTTGAGATGCCTGCTGTCCGGAGTACCAGGATATGACCCGTTGGCTAATTTCTACTTTGATTCACGTATACATCTGTGGTGAACAATTACATAGAATTAAGCGAGTCAGACTTGCTTGCATCTGGTACAAAGAAAAATAAGTTCCTTACCTCAGTACACAACATATTGCATGATTGACTAGTGTTGTGGGGATTGAGGTGGGGGGGTAACCAGAAACCTATCATCTTATCTTACATTTACAACCTTCTTTTCTCTCTCTCTCTATCATTGACGCCGACCTCTCTCTCTCACCCTCTCTCCCACTCCCTCTCTGAAAATCCTCTCACGCCCCTCTCTCTCTCACACACACGCGCCCCCTCTCTCTCTTACTCTTTTTTCTCCCATCTCTCAAACTTTCGTCCGACATCAAGAGTGACCAGTCAGTTTGCCATTCTAAAATATTAACGCAGCCAGCGGTGGACAAACATTTAATAAATTAATAAAAAATAAAAGAATGTGACATAATCTTGTGATTCATTAACTAATTATTCAATCGGCGAGATGGCCAGCCATATTGCAAATTCAATACATGAATTCTCTTGGCAGATATTTCTTAAATTAATCAAGAATGAAACAATTCAGCCTAATTACTGATATAATGTGCACATTTGAACAGTAACGAATAATAGCAATAGTAATAAATTATGATAATAATTATAATATGCTACGGGTCCACTTTAATACCTGGTCCATATAACTTGTATGAATTTCACTGTGTATTTCCTAATACTACCAGAAAGGGAGCGATATATATTTTAATGAAACTTTTATAATATTAATAGCAGATTAGAAAAGTGACGGTTTTAATCGCATGTTATAACTTCTGCTCAAACGAAAGTGCCTAACCTTGGTTCGGTGATTAGCAAATGTATTTGCTTGACCATTACAAGTGGTAAGATTTCTCCTTATTGGAATCATCGTGCTTCGGGCTCAAACTAATCTAAGCTTAAATAAAAACCCGGCTCAAATACATAATAAAAATTGACACGATTTTGCTAACGATCCGACAGTGAATTTATCCGAAAAATGTTATCACAGCTATCGACATTTTTGACGCGGTCCGAATTAACGTACAGCTGCTGGCCACCATATATAATTTAAGACTCCAATATTGTTATAGAGTAGTTTCACAGTGGAGGCTTGTATTTCACTAAGTCGGTCCTAAAAGTTTCGACGTACAAAACGTTAGGAACTTGATATAATAGTTAATGACGCAGCAATCTAGTTGTGGTAGTTGATACTTTAATGTCCGACATCGACTGACTGACCAACTCCCGACTGACGATATTCAGTCCCCCCCCCCACTGGGGAAGCATGTTGCACAAGGTCGGTTATTTAATGTGGGATATCCGAGCCCGTGGGCTTGGCCCAAAATTATACCCATTGAACCCGTATAAACGAGTTCAGGGTCGGTTTACCTCCCCGAACCAGACTCCACCCTTCGGCGTAGCCTCGTTCGGGTTCCTCCACGCCCGAAGGCAGAGAGTTCAACCGAACAGTCGCTCGAGAAAGCAAGCGACTGGAGATTCAGTCACCCCACCCCACTGGGCCATCATGTGACACAAGGTCGGTTATTTATTGTGGGTTCTCCGAGCTCGTGGGCTCGGGCCAAAAATATGCCCATTGAACCCGTATAAACGGGTTCAGGTTCGGTTTACTTCCCCGAAAGTGACTCCGCCCTTCGGCGTAGCCTCGTCTGAGTTCCTCCCCGCCTGGAGGCAGAGAGTTCAACCGAACAGCCGGTCGAGAAAGCGACTGACTGACTCTGATCGCCTGCTACTACTCCTATTTATTATAGGTAGGAGAGTCTATTAACACTAGAATAGGTGTGTTTCACTACAACACATATATGGTAACTAGTTCAGTGAATTTTAGTTGGGACATAATCTTGATGTCTAGCTGCATCGGCAGATTTTCCTGGGTTGGTTCGTGAAATATGAGGGCTTGCATTTTCCTGCAGCAGGATGGTCAATATCATTCTACAACAGTTCCAAATCATTTCTGCTGTGATTGTTTGGCCGGACTGCAAGTGACTGTATAGGATTACTCTACTAGCGCCCCACCCAAAACAAGACGTGAGGCTGGCGATTTGTTTTTAAGAAGGTTGAAGAGGATCAAATTTGTCGACGTTAAGCAAACCATGTTTCTGATTATGGTGTTCTTCTGAGCGTAGATGTGGCACAAGGTCAATAGTATGGAGCACTCAGTGAGGAACGCACTCACTATTCAGTTGTAACTCTTCTAGAGAGATAAGCATGCTAACCATTACACCGTGTCGGGGTGCCTAAAATAATTCCCTAAGCGTAGCTAAATTGTGGCACAAGGCCGAAAGTATGGAGCACCCATTGAGCACCGAACTCACTAGTCAGTTGTAACTGTTCTAGAGAGACAAGTATGTTAACTATTACAGTACGTCGAGGTGCCCAAAATGATTCCCCAAGTATACCTAGTGTGCCACAAGGCCGAAAATATGGAGCACCCAGTGAGGACCGAACACTACTTAGTTGTAGCTGTTCTACAGCGACAAGCATGCTAACCATTACACCACGTCGAGGTGCCCAAAATGAATCCCTTAGCTAAGACGTTTCTTATTATGGTGTTTGTCTGAACGTAGATGTGGCACAAGGCCGAAAGTGAGGAGTACCAAGTGAGGATTGAACTCACGAGTCAGTCGTAACTGATCTAACTAGACAAACTTGCTAGACATTACATCACGGCGAAATGTCTTAACCATGTTTCTGATTTTGAAACAAATTTCCATCAACAGTTTATCAGTAATGTGATGGAGTACTAACTTCTCAGTTTTCATGAATTGTTTGATTTCTATCAGATGTCAACTCAACCTTTGCTTCGAGAATGCTTTCCGGATGAGCCACCACAGATACCCATAGTTCCAAATAATGTCTTTGAACCGTTGTTGTAACAGCTGTTATAAGAGTTCCACACTAATTCTGCCATGAGCTCTATTCATTAGAATTCGGATGATGAGTTTCGTTATGTGGCTCATTAGGTTGTTTGTCCAATGGAGCTCGTATTTTTGGAAAATTGATAAATCCACTGGATTGGGACATGGTTAATGAAGAAGGTGAAGAGATCCCGACGTTTTTCTTTTGGGTATTTTTGAAAATATGGGTTCTTATTTATTTTTATTTGTTTTTCTTCACTACTACGTGGAAAATATTTGTAGATTTGATGCATAAGTTCCAAATGACAAAAGAATGCCACGATGGGGTCGGTAGGTTGCAAGATTAATAGATCTGTCTGTTTAAGCGCTTATAGGTTATTCTATGAGGGACATTAAATTTTAAAAGAAATAACATGAATATTATTCCGCTTTCACAAAAGAATACATGATAGATGATACTCCGCTTTTGTGAGTATAGATGTTTGTGCTGACATGATTACTAGAGGCAGTGAGGCGTGTTTTCTGTTGTGGTTTTATTTGAAGTTAAATGGCGCCATTACACTTTCGCACTTCTCTTTTCTTTATAATCAGTGTGCACAGTAAGTTTTTTTTTATGTCTGTTTCTATTTCTGTACCAACTACGCCTTACGCTGGTTGTGTTTATCTTATTCTTGGCTCTTTTTAAACAAAATTACGTTTGTTTTTATAGCCAGAGTTTACGAATGTATAATAGCGCCAAGTTAAATTTTGGAATACAGTTTAAGAATTTGTAAGATATTATATGGCTTGATGTCATGAAGGTTATATTAAAATGGCTGATTGGCAGTATTTTAAACGGAATTGGGTGAAGTCGCTACAATTTATTAGTATGTACGTATTTTTGGTAAATTTTATATAAAAATGTATTTTATATAAAATATACATATTTTAACGGATTTGGGCGAAGTCACTACAATTAGTATATGCGTATTATTGGTAAATTTTATATAAAAATGCATTTTATATAAAATATATATATTTTAAAAGGGATTTGGGTAAAGTCGCTTCAATTTGTTAGTATGTACGTATTTTTAGTAAATTTTAGTATGTGCGTATTTTTGGTAAATTTTATATAAAAATGTATTTTATATAAAATATGCATATTTTAAACGGAATTGGGTGAAGTCGCTACAATTTGTTAGTATGTACGTATTTTTGGTAAATTTTAGTATGTGCGCATTTTTGGTAAATTTTATATAAAAATGTATTTTATATAAAAATAGATATATTTTAAACGGATTTGGGCGAAGTCACTACAATTTATTAGTATGTCTGTGTTGTTGGTAAATTTTATATAAAAATGTATTTTATATAAAAATATATATATTTTAAACGGATTTGTCTGAAGTCACTACAATTTGTTAGTATGCGCGTATTGTTGATGGTAAATTTTATATAAAAATGTATTTCATATATATATATATATATATATATATATATATTCATAGTGTTTTAATCGGAGGTTAGCTATTTGCCCATAACTAGGAGCCTAACAGGTGCTATCACCCCGGAACAGCAGCAATTAAAAGGTGGTTCCACGCTCCTCAAATTCTTCAGTTTTCCGATCAGAGGCCTTGCTGCCGGATGCAGTTTATCGTCATACCCAGGACAAAGGTTGCAAGTGGGTTTAATGCAGTAGTCATTTACAGCATCACCAAATGGCCAGGAAGGACATTGATGGTGATAATATGATTTTGCGAAGATTATGGTGGGGGGGGGGATTTGTTGATCAATGTTTTCGATTATCATCCTGAAAACACTTTGCATCAACGGTAAACCCACGATCAACAAATGCATCATTGTCAAACGATCAAACAAATTGCAGCCAATGTGAAAAGCGTGCTGATCATCAATCAAAATCGTGAGGGTGTTCGTTTCTGTATTTTCTTAATTTTGTCGATTTGTCAGAAAGCTTTCTGGTTGTTGCCTGAACGAGCCTTTGCTCACAGGTTTTCTTTTCTGGGTGACCCGCCACAATTACCCAGAATTCTTAATTTTTAGCTGAAGAGTTCTGACAACGACTAGGCTAATCTGGAAGATACAGATCACCAGAAATGCAATTTTCGGAACCAAAGATATAATATTCTTTTATAAGACTCCAACGCCAATTAACTATTCAGGCTTTAAAGGTGGCTTCAACAGCTAAATAGCTGAGTTCCAACTCAGGAAACGTGACTCGAAAATCTGGTTTATCCATCTTCTTCGATATTCTACAAAACATGAGTTGTCAAAAACTTTCAGCACCAGAATGAAGAGATGCTAAGCATTAAAAGAATATATACAGCAAGGAACCAATCTAAAAACCGCTAATAAAAATAACCTAACGTCCATTAAGATTTGATAAGGATCAAATAAGTATGACGATAAATTATTACACTTTACACCCCCCCACTATTCCTTCCTGTCGTTCAGCAATGGGTTGCTCCAGGTACGACATTCCGGACTGATATGTAAGTCTCATACAATGGATTATTTTTGCCGTTACATCACATAACACACGTGGGTTGCCACCGCATTAAACTTGCTTTTTGTCTAATTTCCTCTCCTTATTTGTGGCAAATAAATGCAATGAATAATGCTTGAACATACCTACACTTAAACAATAATAATATAATTTTTTATAATTTTTTTTTTATAAAAAATAATTATATCTGCTCTACTTTGTATTGAGCACTCTTTTAAGAATAGTAATTGTTGGTTATTGGAATTCATTCCGCATATACCAATTATATACTTTTTATATATATATATATATATATATATATATATATATATATATATATATATATATATATATGTATAATCCTTTTTATCTCAGTCTGTTCATATCTATACAAGATAAACATCAAATACGAGCGTCTATCAAATAAATATATACATAAATCTAGGTGCCTCCACAGAAGCGAAGTTTAAATTGCATTTAAAAAATGAAAAATATTTCTTGAAGCTTTAATTTTAGTTTTAATTCCAAACTAATAGATTAAATCAAAAATCGAAATTTGGCCCATATTGCGAGATTATGTCAGCACAAGATAATTGTCTTTATTAAAAATTCCTTCAAAAACAAAATATACTTCTCTGAAAATATATTCGACAAACATTATCGTAGTTAACGTTTAATTAATCTAAATTAAAAGGAATATTACTAAGTTTTGGTTTAGATATCGCGAAAAGATTTTTTAAGACGCTGTGCGATTTTGCCGACGTGTTGAGTGATTTATTGACAGTTTGATAATTGGTTAATTTATCTATGGGGGACATTACACGCTAAAACTACATTAAGAATACAACGTGAACGATTTTTGATATAATTTTTACCTACCCAGTAATCTTTAAAATTAAAATAATTTAAGCATTTTAATATTTTATTGAATTTTAGGTACTTTAAGTTTATAGTCTTAATTACGGAGAAAATATTAGAAAAATTGCCAATAAAATACAAACATTCTATTTGTACATCTTCTATTTACTGATAATATCTTTAAGAACATCCATAGTTACAAAAATCGGCACGTTTATATATATGAAATATTTAGTTTTAAATACTTGGGTCGTTGAATTGGAATGAAGTTTTCCATTCATGATTAGTAAATACGGTTTTAATTTAATAAGTATATCATTTGGCCGCTACAAATTAATAAAGAATTTTAAAAGATTCAAGAGTTTGTAAATTATTTCAAATAAAATTTTGAAAAATGCAAGCAGCAGTTTTAGAAATTTCTTGTTCATTTAAAACAGTTTTATTGCATTTTTATTTTATTTTATTTTTATTTTATTTTAATTTAATTTAATTTAATTTTATTTTTATTTTTTTTTATTTTTATTTTATTTTATTTTTATTTTATTTTATTTTATTTTTATTTTATTTTATTTTTATTTTATTTTATTTTATTTTATTTTATTTTTATTTTATTTTATTTTATTTTAGTTTTTTTTTTATTTTAATTTTATTTTATTTTATTTTTATTTTATTTTATTTTTATTTTATTTTATTTTTATTTTATTTTTATTTTATTTTATTTTATTTTCATTTTATTTTATTTTAATTTTATTTTATTTTATTTTTATTTTATGTAATTGGGGTCTTGTTTGACCCCAAAAATTGATTTAAATTCTTCGAGGACGTGTCCTTATAACAAATTAATCGATACAAAAAAGAATTTCTCAACATTTCATAATTTTAAGCGAGTTTCTAATAAAAGAAACAATTAAAAATAATTTAACTGATTTCTAAATATGTTTTGAAGGGTTCATTAAAATTCAAGAATTATAAGACAGTTGGAAGAATTTCCAAAGCAATGTGTTTTTCACAGCAAGGAGAAACTCCGATATCCCGTGCAAATTTATTGTTCCACGTTGACGCCAGAAAAAGATTTTATCAAAAACATCCGAGTTTATAAAAATGAAGAGAAACCTTTTTATCAGAAAAAAAAAATCATTTGATCTTCCTTCTTAACAATAATAACAGATTTTGACTATAAGAGTTTGTTTTTATCATGCTTCGAGCATTTTTATTATGTATCCACAATTTTAATGAATTGTTGTAGGTACCTATCTAAAATACATAAAAAAAAACGCACATAAAAGCAAAGGCTCATGTAAGCTGGTTCATATCTATCTATCTATCTATCTATCTATCTATCTATCTATCTATCTATTCAACCTGATCATATCTATCTGTGTACTCAACCTGTTCACATCTATTCAACCTGTTCATATCTATCTATTCAACATTTTCATATTTATCTATCATTTAAACCTGTTGATATCTATCTATTCAACCTCTTGATATGTATCTATACATTCAACTTGTTCATATCTATCTATTCGACCCGTTCATATCTATCTATCTATCTATTCGACCCGTTCATATCTATCTATCTATCTATCTATCTATCTATCTATCTATCTATCTATCTATCTATCTTTTCAACCTCTTGATATGAATCTATCTACTCAACCTGTTCATATCTATCTATCTATCTATCTATCTATCTATCTATCTATCTATCTATTCAACCTCTTGATATATATCTATCTATTCAACCTGTTCATATCTATCTACTCAACCGGTTATCTATCTATCTATCTATCTATCTATCTATCTATCTATCTATCTATCTATCTATCTATCTATTCAACCTTTTGATATGTATCTATCTATTCAACCTGTTCATATCTATCTATCTATCTATCTATCTATCTATCTATTCAACCTGTTCATATCTATCTATTTATCTATTCAATCTTTTCATATTTATCTCTCATTTAAACCTGTTGATATCTATCTATTCAACCTCTTGATATGTATCTATCTATTCAACCTGTTCATATCTATCTATCTATCTATCTATCTATCTATCTATCTATCTATCTATCTATCTATCTATCTGTTCATATCTATCCCAGTCTGTTTCCGTTTCTATCTATGGAGATGTGTGGTATTCAGTGATGATCAGCAAAATAAAACCAACTTGAGGCACGTTAGCTAATAAACCCTTCAATTCTATTCCTTCCGCTGGGTGAATTCTTTAAATGCTTTTAACATATGTGCCGTATAAACGGAGCGACCAAAAACGAACACTTGTTATGGCAATTTTCAGCTCGTGTCTCTCGTTCTGTACACCACCCCCGGGTTCAGACTGGGCTTTTTTTTTTCACCATTAAATACAAACTTTGAAAAAATAAATCTTAAGAATACATACAAGCACATCTTAACAAAGCCTAATGGCTGAGGTAGTTGTGCATTTAATTCTAGCTTCAATGAATGCTGGCTTTTCAAGAGAAATACGCTCTTCGCACTTAAATGACTCATGAAGCAATCTGCTTCTTTCAAGGTGCTAAGTTTAGAAAATAAAAAGAAACATATTGCCGGAATTTAGGAAAGGCAATTCTTATATATATATATATATATATATATAGACAAACCAGCGTCTCCCTTGGTAGGGAGGACCACCGTCTGATCCGACCTAAACCGAATCAGAAATATGTCTGTTTGAATTCTGCAATGAGATGTTAACATTATTCTCAGGCAGGCCAATGCCGTGATTTGATTTGTTTGTTTAACGATATATCATGTACTTATGGATCATTTAATGCCGAAATTTAATATTCTTGGGAGATCTGAAGTAATAAAAATGATACACGTTATTCTTATTTCATAGTTGAATGCATGGTAGATGGTACTCAGCTTTTGCGCATATACAAGTTTGTACAGATTTAAATACTAGAAGTGATATGTGTGCTTTTTGTGGTAGCTTTGTTGAAGTTTTATTTTGTAATACATTTTCATTTCTGTAAGACCTTGTAGGATATAACATTGATTAACGCCATGAAAGTGTTCTTTCTTGTTGGTTGATTTTTAGTGGCATATAAGCCACTATGGTATATTTTATGCCGAAAATATTTTTTGCCCACAATTTATGGCTTCAACTATAGACAAAAAGTTTGTTGATCATTTTGCTATAAATTAAATTGTTGATCATTTTACTATAAAATTTATTGTTGATAATTCTATTATAAATATTTATTATTAGTAATTTTACTATAAATATGTATGGCTTGTAGTTATATAAAAATGTATTGCTGGTAGTTTTAAACTTTCATAGTTTTTTTTTGGCGGGGGGGTCAGTATTTGCCTATATCTGGGACCCTAACAGGTTCTTTCACTAAGAGTCAGGTCGCACCTGGGGATAGCAGAAGTCATGTGGGGGTTCCACTCTCCTCAAAATCTCCAATCTCTCGATTAGTTGTAGTTTATAGTCATAGCAATGTCCTAATCTTTGTTGTCTCAGCTGTCGGACGTTCTTTAAGTATCTGCCGATTCAGATATCCTTATCTTTAAAACTGAATCCCTTCATTTAATCTACGCGGAAAGACAATAATTCACCGCTATAGATGAAATAAAGGGATCTGTAAAAAAATCCTTGAAGTTTATTTGGTTCGACAAGCACCTTAAGAAGGCCGGAGTGCAAATTCTTTGTGTCATGGCGATTCCTGCAGATTGTAATGTATCTTTAAAGATCATAAGAAAGGGTCTTAGAGTGAAAATCTAAAATATGTGGCAAATGGGGATATCTATACTTCCAATTGTAGTTGGAACTGTTGACTTGATTGGAAAAGTTTTCCAGTAGACTCACTGAAGGGATCACTGTCAGTACATGCCTTAAAGAAGTGCAATAAAATTGTACCCAGAAGTAAAGCTTACACCCATATCTATATAAAATATGTGTGATCTTGCGTTTTTTTTTGGGGGGGGGTAGAAAAATGCTTAGTGGAAGTTTCATGATACCATTTCTGAATTTAGATTTCTGGTTGGGACTCAGAAGTAAATGTGTATACAACAGAAACCAAAGGAAATAATAACAATAGCAGCAGCAGCAACAACAACAACAACAACAACAACAATAATAATAATAATAATAATTGTTATGGCGTCCACCCCTTTTTCATACAAGTGGACTCGACCAGTGTATACTTGGACTGCTGCCATTAAATACCCAGAGTCAGTCAGAATATAGAGAGAGTGAGAGTGGGCAGAGATTGTGATTAAGTTGGAGGTAGAGTAATAGTGTGAGGTAACCGCTTGTAGAAATCACAGTTACAAACACGTAGACTGTAAGGAAGTCCTACTTCGAGACTGGATTTACCAGACTATATATATATATATATATATATTATTATTATTTCTACTAACCGCGTTTCTGGATTTACTAACCGTATTACCAATTGTATTATTGTGTAAATACATTTATTTGCTATATTTAATTCCTGCGTTTGTCATACATTGGAGACCGGATTTCATCTCGGAATACACAACAATAATAATAAATGCCTTGATGCTACAGCAGGAATGATTCTCATGGCTTCTGGCCTTATTTGTATATTGGTGTTAACATATGTTGATAATTTTATCATATAAAAAATGTACTGCTGGTAGTTTTACACTTTTGTTTGGAGGGTATTCACTATTTGCCTATAGCTGGGATCCTAACAGGTGCTACCACTCAGAATCAGGGCGGACCTGGGAACAACAGCAATTACGTGGTGTTTCCACTCTCCTCAAAACAACTATATTGGTTTTTGTCATAAAATGTATTGTTGGTAATTCTAGTATAAATATTTCTTATTGGTAATTTTACTATAGATATGTATTGTCGGTAATTTTATCATATGAAAATGTATTGCTGGTAGTTTTACCCTTTCATAGTCTTTTGTTTGGGCGGGGGTGTTGCTGAACTAACATAGGCTCCATTAAATATCCTTTCTAGTACCACAGCTTTGCTTGCCAGTTGCCTGACCTTATGTTGGGCATGTCCACCCTGCACTGAGGCACTTTGAATATCTGTTCATGAGCGGGAGGGTGAGGAAGAATTAAGGCCAGTTTTCTGAACGGCTGGTATCTGGGTTTTTCGATTTTTTTTTAAAGTTTGACGGATCAGGCATCCAAAGCAATTTGAGGGTCGCATCGAGGTCCTTGGGAATGCTCTAAAAATGGAGACAGTCTTAGCGGACTGGATTACCCGACGAGTATTTTTACCTGGACCCCACCTGCAAGTTTAAGTGTTGTTTTTCTCATAAAATGTCATCGTTCCGTTGTGATGCCTCTTGCCTTTTATACTGACCAGTCTGGATGTCATGATGGATATATAGGACTTCGTAAATTTGTATCCTGCTTCCCTTTGTTGGCGAGATATTTATTGATAGTATTTATAATAATAATTATTGCCTCCAAAATAAAGATGACTCAATGATATAGTAGCTCTCAGAAACATTTGGAACTATGTTGAAGTATGGTCTTGACTGCACAGAGAATTGTTGCAAGCATTCTTCACCGTCAGTAACCGAAATTGAGCAAGTGAATCTTATCTGGAATACAATCATCTTGACTGACAAAAGCTTGAAGAGCAATCGGCCTGATATCATACTTTTGACCAAGAGCAGATATGAATGGATCCTGACAGAGGATGGGGGTCCTTGTAATAATAATAAAACATCTTGTTGGCGTAACCGGCGAATATACAGCTATATCAAGACAGGGTAGGTTAACTGTCTATATTTCTGAGATGAGTTATTATGTAAACTATTTACATTATTCGGACAACTGTCCTCATCTTTGTCGCCATATTTATTACAACGTTTCGGCCGATTCACGTTTCAAGGAGATATGACATAGTGGATAAAGGCGTTGGTTAGATCCAGTGACAGGACCCAAAGAGTGTGAGTTCAATACCCGGTTAAGGCAGAGGAGAACTTGGAGAGGGGAATAAACAGGAGATAACTGATAACTGACATCCATTAAAGAATATGGCATGTGGAACTAGAACTGTCTACCCCAGTGAGCGAAATAAAGGGTTCAGTTCGACATTCCAGCCACCTGAAGAAGGCCGGAGCGTACAACGACCGAAACATTGTAATAAATATGTTGATGAAGATGAGGACAATAGTCCGAATAATGTAAATAGGGTAGGGTAAATCAGAGAAATGTACTAAACAGCAGGTTAAGTTGTCCCTTTTGTGGTGGGTGCACTAGAGTTGGTTCTCTGTGTCCTGCCAGAAAGGTTTTCGCGTCTGAATCAATCCTTTAAATCTATAAATCAACCATCCGTCCTTGCATGAAATATTGCATCATATATGGTCTGGTGATCCCTCTATAAATCTCGAGGTCTACGACAAAATCAAGAGACGGATATGCAATGTGATAGGTCCTGATCTGGCATCTAGTCTACAGTCGCTTTCTCACAGACGTGTTGTGGCTTCCCGCAGTCTCTTCTATAAGTATTTTCACGGCAACTGTTCCGACAAATTGCTTTCGCTGGTTCCCAGACTGCATGAATTTAAGCGTGCTACTAGGTTGGCATCTCGGTCCCACCCTTTCACTGTCGAAACGGTTAAATGTAACCGTCTCTTCTACTCAAACAGCTACTTCTCTCGTACTTCCC